ACTCCAATCAGTAACTACAGGAGAAATTTTGTTTAATGAGAAAAGATAATAGATAATTGAAACAGGACAGACAAAAAATATAAATACAATGATTTGAATTGAGATGAGATAATTAAAATAAAATTGAGAAAATTAAAAGAGGGGAGAAGCTATGCAGAAAATGTAAAATAGTAGTAAGATATGGAATGGAATATAAAAATGAGCATGAACCTGAATTTGTGTCTATACGAAGAAATGTAACCCGGGATTACGCTACTTTCAAAAAAGATGTTTTATTTGTATTTTTTTCCTCTTTGTGAAAACTCAAATAAAATTTACAAAAAAAAAAAAAAGAATGAATGATGTATTCTTTTTCCAAGGCCACTCCTTTTTATAAGCAGCAGATTCCCAGACATCCTAGGCACATTTTCTCCGAAGTATCAAAATATGTCAAAAATCTTGTCTCTGGTGGCCTAAAAGAAATGATTAAAAACACTGGTACTTTCCTGCACACAAAGGGGCACATTCTCACAAGTGCACAGTTACTGTACCATCATTAAGCAAAGCCACCCAATTGCTTTTCCTACTGAGCAAACTGAGATGGATTTAAGATGGCAGCTGGATTGGTGTCTGGCTGTGCCTCGAGTTATCAACACTCAGCAACAAAGGAAAATTCTGAGGGGGGAAAAAGTAAATTCTGAACATGGAAGAAGAAGAGGAGGAGCAGGAGGAGTGATCCAGTTTTGCTCACCACATTACAAAAAAGATGTTACGACTTTGGAAAAAGTGCAAAGAAGAGCAACTAAGACGCCTAAGGACCTGGAGACAAAAACATATGAAGAATGGTTGCAGGAATTGGGTATGGCCGCTCTAGAGAAAAGAAGGGCTAGGGGGTTCATGATAGCATTATCCCAGTATTTGAGGGGATGTTATAAAAAAGAGAGGGTCATCTTGTTTTCCAAGGCTCCAGAAGACTAGACACTAAACAATGAATGGAAACTAATCAAAGAGAGAAGCAACCTGGAACTAAGAAGAAACTTTCTGACAGTGAGGACCATTAACCAGTGGAACGGTGGGTGGGTGCTCCATCACTGGAAGCTTTTAAAAAGAGATTGGACAGCCACCTATCTGAAATGGTCTAGGGCAGTGGTTGCCAACCGATGGGCCGTGGCCCACTGGTGGGCTGCACGAGAACATTTTGGTGGGCCGCAGAGAAATCTCACCCCCAGAGCACCCCCACAAATCAATTAATCCAGGCTGCACAGAAATACAAGGCTGCACCGCCCACATGGCCCGCGGGAACCCTCCCTACCCATTCACTCCTTACCCGGCAAACTTGCCTGCTAAATTGCTATTTTTCCTTTTTCCGACCATCATCTGTTCTGCTGTGCCGGGAGATTTGGATTAGCTAGGAAGCAGGAAATGGTTGGATTTTTTGCTTTCTAGCTTATCTTTAGATCTTCAGCTCTGCTTTTAAGTACAGCCAAACCTCCCTTAGGACTGAAGGTTCTATTATTGAATGCAGACTCACGGCAAGCAAATTTTATGTGACAGACTGAGCTAGCCGATGGCAGATAGGTAGATCACTGAATGATTCTGTGAGCAACTCAATCTGCCTGCCTGCTTTGCCTGATTTTGGGTAAAAGTTGCTCTTTTTCTAAATAAAAATTTCAATATGTATATAAATATTTATAATATTTACATACAAGTCATGCCCAGCCAGTCACATGACCACCAAGCCACACCCCCAAATTAGGCCACACCCACAGAACCAGTTAATGGTCCCTGGGATTTAAAATTATGAGTTTGGTGGTCCCTGAGGTCCAAAAGGTTGGCGACCCCTGCTCTAGGGTCTCCTGCTTCATCAGGGGTTTGGACTAGAAGATCTCCAAGGTCTCTTCCAACTCTGAGCACAAATAACTTCCCATGTAGGGCTGGCTAAAGCCTGTGGCTGAGTTGCGTGGAAAGCAATGGTTTTTTTAAATAGCTTAGTTATCCTTACCCTGCAAACTTATCTGACGTTCTTAGATATAAATGTATGTATAAAATTAGTTGTTGTCAATGCTCTTATAGCATCGCTTTCCCAGTGGTGGAGCAGCTTTGCTCTCTAATTTTAAAGTTGATTTATGAAAGTTAATAACCTCCAGCTTCTATATAAATGTACAATGATGCTCTAAGGCCATTCTCTAGCTATTAAGCACATTTCCAAGTTTAATAATGCTTAGAACATGCTCATTAAAGCAGTTTCATTAAAGTCAAGAGAGCTAATTTTTCTCCTGTACACAAATCCCCCCCTCCCGCCTGCGCTAAGGAAAACTGTTAAATTAACCAGAACAGCATATTCTGAATCTTGTTCCAGTAAACAAATCTGGGATTTTTTTTTTTGTAGCAGAATTACATGTGAATCATGCTGAAAAGACACTCTTGAATTTGATGGAATCTGTGGTTAGGCGCTAGTATGAAAAAGTCACGGTCATTTTAAAAAAGAATGAATTTTAACTTAGTTTGGAGACGATCCCTTCTTTTTATAAGCAATGCTTGAAAGCAGGAACAAATGAATGGGTGCATGACTACACAGCTGAAACTGTTTTAATATATTCCATTTTCAATAGCAGCAATACCAACTCAGATTAGGACTGTTGTAGCCCACCCTTCTTCTACAAAGCACCATACACAATTTCTCCACAGTCCTCTTCTCACAATAAAACTGTGAAACAGATGGAAAAGACAGCAAGTAGTTCAAAATCATCCAACTTAGTAGGTGGATAAGTAGATTTTGGCAACACAACTCCCCACAACACATACCCAAAAGCATGCAAAATCTGCTTTTAATTTGATTGTGATGGGGTGTGGAAAAGGATCCAATCCTGTTGTATTTCCATCCTTGTGGGCCAAATGATGTCACGGGGTGGAAGCCAACAGAAAGCCCCACCCCGCACAAAGTTGTGTGTTGTCTTCAATAATTCCATTTGCTTTTATCATCTTCAATTGGTATTTAATCCCTATGTAGGATTATTCTGCACTTCATTCTCTGCCAACCGCTACTCAGCTGCGTAAATCCTAAATCGTGTCTTAAAACGGTATAAATGTGGGTTCCAGATGTGGAATCCACAATACAGATAGCATTAAAATGTGGGAAAAGTCAACCAAGGGGATTGTGCAGCAAATCAAGGAACATCAGATACATCTGAAATCTGCAAATACTAAGCATTACTGGTCACTGAGCATTTGTCCAGCTCTGGAGCAAAGAGATAAGGAGGAAAAGGTTGCTGGCTGACTTAGAAGAAAACAGCGAGAATAAATTTCTTCTTTGCTTGACCACTTGAGAAAGAATTGTTGGTCTGATCATTGTGACAAAAATGTAGCAATGGTAGATTTCCACATTCCCATTCTCAAAGAGAAAACACACAAGGTATTTTGCATGGCTGCCATGGATCATGAAAGTTCATAACGGAACTGAAACTGTGCACCATATAAATATATGATGTTAAAAAGGGAATAATTTACAAGTCAACTAAAGTATGCTTTGCTTCAAGACAAAAAGCTAAGGGAAAAGGCTATTCCTGCACTATAGGGACATGATGTCTGTGGAATCTCTAAGAATTATAATCGTTTGTATGAAGTAGCATTTTAGGAATTGAATGAATTAGATATTACATAGGGTCATAGCACAAATCTTTAAATTGATCCTGATGTGAGATCTTGATTTAATTTCTGCCAAGGGACACAGAAGGACATTAGTCTTTTCCTCTGAAAAGCTTTTCAGCAGTTTCAAGAGAAAACTAAGAGTGTTCAAAATTAAAAGAAATAGAATTTGCTAAAACCATAATTATCAAAGAAGGTTCCATGTTTTCTAGAATTCTTAACGTTCTGGGTTTTTCGAAATGAAATAAAAACAGTTGACACAATTGGATAAATATGGTAACAGACAAAACCAGGATAAATTTTTTGTAAGTGCAATGCAAAATAAAATAAATTATCATTATTTTTTTAAAATATCAAAAGAAAATAGATAAGCATATAGAAAACATTCACAATGAAATATGGCTCCCCAAATTCTCAAGACTAAATTGCCTGCAACGATCCATGAATGAATTATTATCCCCTGGTTAAAAATCTGTTCTCTTATTTGAGAAGGTTAGCAATGTGAAGTAGATAAACGTCTTTTAAAAAAAAAAAAACCTTGGCAATACATAGGACAGACACATTTTGAAGGCTTCCCCATTAAGATTCCCCAATCTGAAGTCCTCATTAAAATTTAAAATAACACAATTAATACATGTATGAAATCACAATTCAGCGCAGGAAGGGTGTCTGTAGTCTGTAAGATATACCCCCATAGACCAAGATGGCAGCTGTGATGGAATAATCAAACGACACAAATAAAAAAGGCAGGGCAACATCAAATGCACCGACGTGGCTGCCATCTTGACTTTTGGACCTCCATTGCCCCAACCAAGTTTCCATTGTCGATGAAAGAAAACCTGTTTTACCACACACAAAGAGAATACACTGGAATAAAATCTCCAATGGACCTATCGTTCTTGTACCAGCATCACACTGGACGCATGGCTAGAAGGAGGCTAATGTTTAAATCTATTTGCCCTCTTATGTCAACTCATAAAATATTTCTGTGGTCTTTTAGAGTTGTCAACAGAAAGGGAAGGGGAAGCAGTGGGCAGCTCGCATTCCATAAATGTTTTCAAAGATAGTTTCTAGGTGACTGAGGTTTCTGCCCCGTAAAATTCTAACTGGAGAGCATGATTGATGACTCTTGGCTATGGATGTGTCCCATTGGAGAATATGAATTATGATATACCCAGGGGGTGAGGGAAAATGAGGGTTAAGGGTGACAATGAATTATGTGTCTCAGAGTCGACTACACCCAGGCAATGCCGCATTTTTAACTCCCAATAAATCCTTTTGGAGTTTGGCTAGAGATTCATGATTTAAATGGCGTTAAGTGTCGGAATCCTGACATCCTTCTTTGGAACCAAGGTGAAAAGAAGCTCAAAACGTACCTGGGCTTGTGAGTGCACCAAGGGCCCCTGATGCTGTGGAGAGTGGATTCGCATTGGTGGTGTTGGCTGAGGACTGGGCCGCGGCCGCTGCAGCTGCTAAGGTTGCCAAATTTTGTAGCTGTAAAGCATTCATTCCTGCAGAGAAAACAGAGAGCTGGTGAAGTCGATTTCCAAACCCAAACGATTTGTTTTAAATCCACCATACAGGTAGCTTTTGACTTACAACAATTCATTTAGTGAACATTCAAAGTTCTAACAGCACTGAAAAAAAGTGAAGCATCCCCATGATCATGTGATCAAAATTCAGAAGCTTGGTAACTGTTTCACACTTAGGACGGTCATGTTTCCCAAGGTCATGTGATAGCAAAACCAATAGCCCTTAGCCTTATATACCTCTTCATAGGGCTTTTACAGAACTCTCTAAGCAGTTTTATAGAGTCAGCATATTGTAATCTGGGTCCTCATTTTATCGTCCTCGGAAAGATGGAAAGCTAAGTTCAACCTTGAGCTGGTGAGGCTCAAACTGCTGGCAGTCATCAGAATTATCCTGCAATACTGCGTTCTAACCACTGCACCACCATGGCGCCACCATGGCAATCACCTTTTGCAACTTTCTGAGAAGCAAAGTCAATGGGGAAACCAGATTCATTTAACAACTAGGTTACCAACTTATCAACTGCAGCGAGTCACTTAATAACTGTGGCAAGAAAGTTCATGAAAGGAGGCAAAACTCAACATACCAAATGTCTCACTTAACAACAGAAAGGTTGGGCTCCATGGTAGCCGTAAGTTGAGGGCTACCTGTATCCTTTCAGCTTGTCTGGTCCTCCTCTGTTACTTTTAAACCGCTCGTTAACGATTTTGTTCTGTAGTGGCCTTTCACCAAAATAAAGTCTAACTTGACCTGGGATTTGCAAAGACTGTCATTTTCTACTTTTCTTGATTTTCATTTTTAAAAAGAAACCTATTCTGATGGACCAGGTGACAGGGACTCAGCACGAGCCCTCATGAATTGGAAGCATGAGTTGTGCCATGAGGCCACAATAAAAAATGCAGGAGAAATTATCTTGGGATAGCTCTGAGTTGTTTATCAAAACGTATGTCAAAAACGAGCAGCAGAAAAAAGCCTTGCAAATTTTTTTTAGAAAGCATCACAAGAATACATTGTTATCTAATAGTGATGCTTCTACTTCAAAAGGGAGAAGAGAAGAGAAGAGGCTGCGTTACTGCCTAACAATCCATCAGTCTGCTTTTGCCGGGGATAATTTGCTGTGAAGTCAAATCCACTGTGGCTCAGAATTAGGAGAAGTCATCTTAGTCATACATTTGAAACAATTTCCATTCCAGTAAAGATGTTCGCTGAACATTTACTCAGAGTTCTGAAGGTACTTTAACCGTGGAAAATTTAATTAATACATGCAAACTTCCACACAATCCCTAGAAGATCAAGATTGCAGACTGTGCAGGAAGTTTCAATAAGAGAAAAAAATAGGTGTGCATGTCAAACAACTAATGCAAAAGGCATAAACAGATTCCTCATATTTTTCACTCTTTAGAAAACTTGGCGTATGTAATAATTTTCCGGTGATGGATGTGAAAATAAATAAGGGGCAGGATCTTTCTCAAAGCCTCTACCTACTAGTAGAAATTTCCTGCCCGAGCAGGGGTTTGCACTAGAAGACCTCCAAGGTCTCTTCCAACTATTCTATTCTGTTCTATTCTGTTCCGTTCTATATTCCATTCTATATAGGGGTGGGATACAACAGGGTTAACTACGGGTTCGGGATTTACGAGCTTCCCTGCATGCTGGGAGTCGCATGCCTGTAAATCGTCATCAGCAGGCTGCATGCAGAGAAGCAGCCTTTGAAACAGCCCTCTTTTCCTGCTTTTTTAACTGCAGCTGTGCCTCGTTCAGCAGTTGAAGTTGAAAAATCAGGAAATAAAGATCAGGTAAGAGCCTGGGTGGGCAGGTGGGCAAAAACATCAGCAGACATAGAACCAGTTCTATGTCTGCTGCTCTTCAAAGCTACTGGTTCTACAGAGGTAGACAGAACCGGTAGAAACCCACCCCTGGTTCTATATTCTGTTCTGTTCTATTCTGTTCTATTCTATTCTATTCTATTCTATTCTATTCTATTCTATTCTATT